TTTGCATTAATAGGTCAGTCAGAGACTGGATGCACATGATATGTCAGCCTATCATGGGTAACTAGCCATGGTGGTTACCATGGTGGTGTCATGTCATGCAAACCTAGGTGGACAACAAAGCACTGTGAAAACCCATAGCTTATAGCAGAAGTTGCTGTATCCATGATGGGTTGTCTCATCCAAATCCACGTGACCAACCCTATCTTGGATACAAGGAACTGGTAAGGAAACCAGGCAGCAAGAGCAGCAAAGACTATCAGTGCCCTTGCTCAGCTTCCCCAGGCCATCCGTGACAGTCATCAGGTGTCCAAGTATCACTTGGTAGTGATGGCTGCAGGTTCAGTCTCCTGTGTCAACTAGGACTCCTTCTGCAGTCTCCATACCATTTTTTGGGGGGTGGGCTTTTTAGAGGGGAGATCATTTTTCACAATTTCCAAAGTGATAATCAGTGACAACCCTTCAGAGTACCCAACTGGCAAATTAAAAAGACTATCACTGATTTGCCATATTTTCCCCCTTGGTGCCCAAAATGGGCACACATTTTAATATTTTTATTATTGTGTTGGTAATTGTTTATTATTGTGTTTGTTTTATTATTTGTGGAGGTACAAAATTCCAACTATTCCAAATTCATAGTAAAGTACAAGAGGCACCATCCATGCAAGTTGACAATGCAAGGCTATATATAGGTTAATTTGTTGCTTTGCTTGTTTGACTTTGGTGGCAAAAGGGAGTAGCACATATATCACCTGTCTTACAGCAAGATCCTCTATGTTTCATGTACCTTTTCTACCCTTTTCACAAGTCTAGGTGCTCAGGATATTGGAAACATATGAGTTATCAGATTTATGGGAGCATTGAGTTTTGACAGGTGTCTAAACTCACGTTTGCTTCTAAAACAAAACTCCTGTTTTAAACAGGGCATTTCTTAACCGAAACATGCATTCCATTAAAAAATAGAATGATCTTTTCACCAGCAAAGATCCCCTTACAGCATCACTACTCTCTTGACAGCTCAAAGTTTGCTAGCTATCAAAAGAGAAAATTAACAAATTTGTAGCATTGCTTTATCAGTGTTTACAGTTGATACTTTCTATACTTTGACAGGAGACAGAATCCAGAACAAAGGAAACATCGCATTAGGATGGCTAGAGTTGTGCACCCGCATACCTCTGAAAATCTGACCAAAACCAACAATTTAAAAAATCTTGGGTGCACACACACACACACACACACACACACACACACACATGCAAAGTGGTGAACCACTGATAGTTGTTCCAATGTGCCATCTGGATACTTTAAAGGGGTTGTCACTGGCTATCAATCTGGAAACTGCAGAAAAGTGATCTGCAAAAATAATGGGCAGAGGCGGAGAAAACCTGCAGCAACTGCAAAAGGGGCTGTGGTCGCAGTGGTGAGAGGCTAGACAGATCCTGCCATGGAATCTCTGGGGAGAGATGTGGAAGAACCAAGGGAGAAGGGGGGGCAACCCACAGTGAGCCCCAGGGTCTGCTGGGTGTATCATGGGTTGTTTCACAAACAACCCACATGGTACAGTAAATTCACAGGGTCGGTTGCTATGTTATGTAAACTCATCCAGGGTGTGATGCTTTGTGTTAATCAGTTCTGCTTTGTGGAAATTATTCTTCAGGGTTAGAGATTCTGGGTGGGATAAAGATTTAATCACTGTCTCTCTGAATTCAAGTGGACCTACATAACTTAAATCCCATTGGTTTCACTGAGTCTCCTTTGTTTGAATCTAACCCATTGACTGAAGCTTGTCTCAATTCATTAACTGATTTCTTTGACCAATGAAGAGGTTGTCATATGTGCAAAGGTGCTGGATGCTAAGGGAAGAACATGAGTGAATCCCTCCTGAAACAGAAATAATACTTAGCTGCTTTATTTTGGTTCCCTACATACCACCACCATGAAACTGGAACATCCATTGCTCTTTCATGCTGGCACCAGTGAGCAGCATGAAGATACTGGGCCTGGGCCTGGAATAAATCTTGGGGGAAGCAAGTGGCAGGCTTTCCTTCAGTTGATAGGGGAGAACTTGGACACTCCAAGATTTAGGTTCTCCATGCCTCTTCAACTTTTTCAAAGAATGTGAAAACACATCCCTTCCAAAATGATTTTTGGCTGGTTAAATATCAGAAAGTAGTAGCATATGTGTCCTTCGAAGGACAAGTAATACACTTACACTATATTGTCTTTTACTTGATCTTCTTACAATGAGTTCTATTACAATGAGGGAACCTCATTTACTAGATCACCACCTTAGAAAACCATGACTGGTTTGTTAACAATAACAACAACCCCAACAATTAAAGCCAGAGCAATTTTAGAGACCATCACTAGATCAACATTTAATATCGCCAAACTGTTAGCAACAAAGTATCCCGATCGATCATTAAACTGGCATTAACAGTTATTTAAATGTTCTCGAGATCTGATGGTGGCACAATGAATGAACAACTAAAGAAGCAGTGGAAAAGAGAATGGTAAAACAATTAACTGCTTGTATATTCTGCAGTAACAACATTACAATGTTTCTGACACTGCAGTGGCAAGGGAAAGAATCTCTAATTACGAGCAAAAACAAGAGGAAGAGGCAGTCCTGTTCAAGGTGATTTGAAATCTACAAAATGGTGCTTTGAAGGTTATTGAGACTATTTTGAATGGATAGCCAAGAGAATGAAGATGCCTGTAACAACATCCTAGAGAAACTGTGATTGCAGGTAATGTGGTTGTCAAGAATATCTCTATGAAAAGCAACATTTTAATATAAGACCCTAAAACAAGGGTCTAAGAGCTAAAACAAGAGGTGCAGCCATCCATTCTTTACTATTTGGGGCTGTACTTCTCATGATTTAAAAACTGGCCAAGCAGACATATAGCAAAAGCAACAGGAGTTCCTTACTACTGCACATCCAATTTGTAGTTAACTACGCAGCTGAAAACAGCAATAAGGTGATTTGTTTTAGACAGTGAAAACAAATCTAAGTCATAACAACAAATTTTGCTGTTTATTCAGGGTATTTATGGCTTTCATTCTCAATTCACACAAGTTCAAAAGCAAGAAGCCTACTCATGCATTTTAGAATTGCATTTACCACTCCCCTCTTACACACCATTAGTGCTTGCACCCAACAAACAAGCAATTAAAGCATATCACAGAATAAATGTTTGCTATGACATTTTAAAACCAAAAACACATATTGCTAAATTTCTCTCCATCTGTGCCAGTATAAACATTTTCTACATCTCCCCAGTGATTACTATGGATCAAAGATCCAAAGGGGGGGAAGGACGGAGATGGAGAAAGGGAAAGAGAAAGAGAAAGAGAGAACTCAGATTAGGAGAACTGTGATAACACAAAATTTGGAAGATTCATAGCTGTGCAGAACATCAACATTTTGACAAGCATAATTGGTGAAAGAAACATTTCATAAGAGTAGCAGCCATATTCATATCAGCAGTTCAAACACTTTGAGAAAACTGCAGTGGTGAGAAAGCATCTTGTTATTCTTGAAACTTGTGCAGGTTCAGAGCATGAAAAAGCCTAACATGTTCTCTTTGGGTGCAATCTTATGTGTGCTTAGACAGAAAAAAAAAGTGCAATGTGGTAAGTATATGGAAATTGTTCCTAATTTACATTTTTTCATTCAATGCCACTGCCAAGCAAATTCACACACATACTAAATATTGTGGCATTTGTTTCATACACAATGCTTTGTAAACACTGCCTAATTAATCCCCATTTAGCAATCCTTTGAGATATTACGTATATTTTGCACATGGGAAAATTTGCCATGGGCTACAAACTCGTCACTGGCTCATTCAGGATTAGACTTTGAAGATTTCCAATTCCAGCTCCCATGCCCCAACTGTGAGACCACACCTCTTTCTCATATGCAGCATATGCAGTTGCGGAGACATACACAGAGAAAACACAGGGCTGTGGAGGTACAGACACATGTACAGAGGAACCCTTTCTTTTCAGCAGCAGTTTTCTGAAGGTTATACAAGTAGGGCAGTGGAGCATTCACAAGGCACTTCCAACACTCTCAGCCAAAGCAGATTAGGGGATTTCAAAGAAAAAAGCCACCCACACTATTAACTAGTAAAAATAACAACAACAACAATGGCTAGCCTGGGCTTGCTTGCTTACAGGCTGACATTTAAGAAGACACTGTGCTTCAGGAGTGCTGCATTAAACACTATGTTGTTTCTAAAGGAACAAATTACAAAATCAAGCAAGAAACAAAGAAACCCATTTATGGTCCCATTATCAGGACTTTAAACAGCTGCGACATTTTGCAATTTTCCCCCTTTGTGCAACTGCAACCATTTCCAAGATCAAATGCTATAAATGGGATATTACATAACAAAACATGAGGCAACATTCAAAGATGTCTGGCGTTATTATATATGTTTTCTCTGCAATTCACAGGCTTCAAAACAATCACAGCCTGAGATTTCATGTCATGTTTGTTATCTCTTAATGGTGATTTTTCTCTCCACCCGTTTACAACTCTTTCATAAGATGTTGTTGTCTTGATTTATATTTATAGTGTAACCATAAAAAAGAACATAATACCATTAAACTTAACATCCTTAACCAGATGGTTAAACCCTTTACAAAACACACAAAACAGGTTTATCCTAGATGCAACCCCTTAATAAGCTGAAACTCTGCAAAAACATAAAAGGAGGGGCTGGAGGTAGGTGTGGAAAGGGTCTAAATGCAGTGTGCTAATACATGTAAAGAGAACCATCCCATTATGTCATTTATATTAACTATCAAAACACTACCCAACCATGCTGCAACTGGGAGCATCTTCACTGAAGCACTGGCATGGAAACAGTTCAAGTCACCCTTGGCAATGGCCCCACACCGTTTCCTCCCCACAACACCTCTCCCATTTAACCCACAAGCCCACCTGCCACCCGAGCCTGAGGAAGCAATTGTTAGCAGACAGCACGCTCACCTTGTCTCTGGCTCTTGCCCAGCTACTGGATGTCCTCCCGCTTGTGGAAGCTAATGCTGGCATACGCACTTAATTCATCACTCAAGTGGCTACTCCCACAAGGCTGATTTGGAGATTTAGGTGGCTGATGCTGCTGTGTCGGCTGCTTGACCCCTAGCAAAGAAGTGCTCTCTTGAGGGTGGGGGTGGTGATGGTGATGCTGGCGGTGATTAAAATCCTTCGCTAAGTCCAGGTCAATGTAGTTGAGCCCGTTCTCAGCGCCTCCCCCAGCCCCACCAGCTGCCTGCTCCCTCCTTATGGGGGCTCCCGGGCTGGAGGAGGCCCCCAGTTCCCCACACAGAGGCTTCAGCCAGACGTTTTCAAAGGAGGCTGAGCTGTGACGTTTCGCATCCTCTCCTGGTCCATGGGGAAGGGTTGAGGCCCCGAGGCCACTGCTGCGGGTGGAGGAAGCAAACGTCTCGGAACTGTGACGCCGGCGGCCTCCCTGCGGGTCAGCTCGGATCACTTTGGCACTCTGGGTGCTGCGGCTAGGGCTCAGGCTGACGTGTGTGAAGGCGCTGCTCATCCCCGGAGCCCCAATCATGGATGAGGAGCAGGAGTGGGGCAGGACTGCATCCAGTTCACCCGGCTGAGTCTGAGGATGTGGGGCAGGCAGCCCCATGGGCAGCGGGCTTTTCTCTGGCCTACCACGCCCCATCCTCATGTCAGCATAGCTGAGCAGAAGGGCTGGAGGAGAAGGTGAGGGGGTGTGGGCACAGACCACGTACTGTCCCCCACTGCCCAGCTGCATGCTCATATAGTCTCGAGCACCAGTGGGGCCTGCCCCACCTTGGCTTGGCTGTGTAGGTGCCAAGCTGGTAGGGCAGGCAGCCCCCCAGTCCATATTCATGTACTCCTCTGAACTGGAGCCAGCATCTCCGTGGGGCGATGGGAAGGCTGGCTGCTTAAATTCAATGTTCACATATTCTCCAGGGCTTTTGGGCTCTGGGAGCTGTTCCCGAGCACGAGGCAGGGTGCTGGCCTTTGGGCCATCCAGGGACAGACGGGTAGGTCTGGCCAGACGGCTCTTGGTCCGCACAGCTGTGTCCACAGTACAAGAAGGCGCAGGCTGCAATGGCTGTGTCTGGGTGGGAAGGGAATACCCGCCACTCTCCTGTCCCCCAAGGCCACCAAGACTATCACTACTGGTGGAGGAGGAAGAGTCTTCAGCAGCAGCATAGAGCAAACGACCGGAGCTGAAGGACAGGCGCATCTGGGAATTTCCCTCTTCGCCTGTCCTGCGTTGCATGTGTTTGAAGGAACGTGGCAGGGAGAAGTAGGAGTGGATGGGCTTGTGGTGGGACTGGCCGGGACCCTGCACTGATGGCTCTTCTGGGCCAGGAGGTCCAGAGCTGGTGAAGTAGCAATCTGGAGGGGTGCTGGTGGTAGAGCCACTGGCTGGAGACATATTGATGTAATCACTGCCACCACTTGGCAGCTTCCCCTCATTACTCTCCACTGAGAGTTTGGGATGATGACTAGCCCCATTCATCCACAGCTTGCTGTAGCCAGTGGGACCACTGTCTGGAGAGCAGCTCCCACTGGGAGACATCATCATGTAGCCATTTGAATCCACCACGGTCTGCGCGTGACGGCCTCCTCTGCCAGGGTTGATGATCTGCTGTGGGGCAGACACGCTTTTTGGGCTCATGGGCATATAATCACCACCTTTTGGAGTACTACCACCATTGGGGACAGGAGCTACTCCTGGCAGCATTGGCATGTAGCCATCATCAGTGTGTGGGGCCGAATTGGTCTGGTGGTGGCTGGCCTCCACCTGGTGCATCTCTAGACACTCCTCGGGATAAGAATGGGTTGGCACAAAGGCAGAATGTCGGTGAGAGGAGAGCCTGCTGCCACCAGAGGAATACGAAGGGAGCATCTCGGTATACTCTTCAATGGAGGCCACTGAGGACTGTGAGGGAGTCTTCTGGTGGGAAATAGTAGGGGAAGTGCCGGCTGAATGTGTCCGTTTCCTGAAGCCCTTCTCCGAATCACCTGCATCCTCATTGCCAAGCCGGGGACAGCACAGAACACCAGGGTAGCGGGCTTGCTGCTGAAGATGGCAAGTGCGGGGTGCAAAATGGCCATTAGGAGCTGTGATGCTGCAGCAGGATGAGGCAGCCTTCCCCCCCATACAAATGTAGTTGCTAAGCTCTTCATCTCCTCGAGCAGGTGGGGTGTGTCCCAGGGAATCAGGGGTGACACTACGAAAGGAGCTGCGGAAGTCACAGGGACTAGATCCATACTCATCGGAGGAGATGAAACCCCCATCGCTAGGGGAGCCAGAGACTGAAGCACTGGACCGTCGAGGGAAGAGGCAGTCTGAGGTGGAGCCGTGGCCACTGGTGCTACTGGAGGACAGGCTGACAGGGCTTGTGGCTGACGGGGAGCAGCGTGAGGAAGGCATTGGGATGGAGCGGCTATGGTTGAGAGGGGGGTGAAGCCTTGAGCTGCCGCGGTGCCTGTGTGAGTGGGCCCGGTTGGCACTTGGACTCACTGGACTTCCGTCAACTGAAGCTGGCCTGGACATGGTACCTTCTCCATCACTAGAGGCTCTGACACGGAAAGAGTTAGGCTTGCCCCCTGCCCCTCCTCCACCTCCCACACCACTACCAGCAGGAGAAGTCGCAGTTACACTCTCAGTCCGGGACCTACGGCTGAGCCCCACCTGGCTGGGCGGTGGGTTGTTGATGTGATGCCTGCTGCGGAGAGGCACAGATATGGGATTGGAGCAATTGGAAGAAGACTGGCTTTTGCTGCGAGGCCGGAATTCTTCACTCATAGCCCGCATGGCCTCCAAAATAGTCTCATGCATGTTCTGTGCTACTACTGAGTCATCTACCTGCATCCAGAACTCACCTGGTCCAGTAACTGCGGAGCGCCCCACTTCAATGAAAAAAAAGTTCTCCGAGTGGCCACAGCGCCGGATGTTGAGCAGCTGCAGCACCACAGCTGCGGCATCAGAGTTCAACTTAACGAAACTGATAGTCTTGTTGGTTAGGCACAGGCGGTAGATGCCAATCAGGTTCTTAGTCTGGCCCAGACCTTTGGGCTTCAGGATCACTTGCCACACTTCTTTAAATGCTGGGCCAGGGGCCATGTCACTGTAGCTGCCCTCTCTGGCCTCTCCTAACCCGACACTCCCACCTCCCACTGTGACATCCCCGTGGTGCTGGTGGTGCTGGTGGTGATGGCTCTTGGCCCGGTTGTGCAGCTGCAGCAGCGCCTGGTACCAACTCTCCTGCTCAGACTCACTGTCAGCAGCAATGGCAAAGTGCTCATCCTTAGTGTAGAGAGCCACCAGATGCTTATTTTTGGAGTCTGCCCTCTTGTTGATGTTGAAGCAGCTCTCCAGTGGGATAGAGCGCTTTGGGGCCCCCGACTTGTGTCTCCATTTCTTTTCGTTCTCATAGTACTCCAGCCGGGCGGGTCCCAACTCGCTGGCTGCCCTCAGCACGAAGAAGCGCTTGTGCATGCTCTTGGGTTTGCGCAAATAACCCACCTTCCTGACATCTGAGAAGAAGCCCTCACTGTTATCGGTGGGGCTCGCCATGCTGGAAGGAGAGAGGTGGCAGTGCAGCTCCTAAGGCAAGGGGCAGCTTCGGAAACAGCTGAGTGAAGAAGCAGAGGGAGAAAACAAGAACCAACCAATGCAGCAGTGCAAACTACAATTCATGCAGCAGCAACCGAGCAAAATAAACAAAACAATCCAGCAAAATAGTTCTGGCTCCCCTTTCCAAATTGGGATGGGAGGAGGCAAGCACAGCAGCCAGAGAACAGCTGTTCAGCGACCAGAGCTTTCTTCCAGCTCCAGGAGCAGAGTTTGGGTCGCCGTTTTATTCCCAAATCGCCCTCCACCGGAGAAACGTGGCTTTCCTAAATCCAGTTCCGATTAAATCGCAGGGAAGCCTCGTCCGAGCAGCAGCCGCTGGGAAAGGGGAGAAGTGCATCATTTTCTTCCGTACTTGAGTGGAAATTCCTCCGGCAACGGGAGTAGGATGGGGTTCCCCCGTCGCTTCTCTCCCAAACAGCACCCTCCCCTTCTCAAGTTACCCCACAGCAAGAAGCAGATTTCAGACGCCGATTAAATATCCTCTCGGGAAGGAGGCGCGCGGATGGAGCCGAGAGGGGCGGGGGGGGGGGAGAGATTTGTTTTGCCAAAAAAAAAAAAAAAGGAAAGAAAGTCTCAGCAAAACACAAGCAACCCCTTCCGAAAATAAGAATAAAAATAATAAGCGGGGGAAACAACCCGCTATCGCCACACAAGCCCCCTAATTATCTTCCCCATCAAGTGTGCGTGCGCGCGCGTGTCAATAAAAATATCCTTCTCGCGGAGAGCGATTGGGGGGAACCCAAACAAACACGCCAATACCCCAAATCAGAGCTGAGGAGACTGCAGCAGCAGCGGCTTCTTCTTCAGCTTGAGCAGGAGGAGGCGGCTGGCGACCCCATTCAGTCCCGCCTGGTTAGGTAGAGAAAGTGCCATTTCCACACCGACGGAGAGCAGGCGGCTGCAGGGGCGAGAGCTGGTAAAGCGAAGAAGAAAAGCTGCCCGAGTGGAGAAGCAAGAGGAGGAGGGGGCACATCCTCGCGGCGGCGGCAGCTGCTTCCACCTCCTCCTCCTCTTCTTCATTCCAGTCGGGAAAGTCTCGGAGGGCAGTCGCAGGGTCCCTTCCTCCTGCGGCAGCGGCAGCGGCAGCGGCCCCGCCGCTGCTCGGTCGTCTTCTTCCTCCTCCTCGTGCGCCCCAGTACGAAGGAGGCGAGGCGCGCCGCGCCGCTCGCGACCCAGGGAGACACACAGGCAACGCGGCCGCCGGCGGACTTGTGGCTCGAGCTGCCGCTGCCGCCGCAGTAGCTGCAGCTTCGCAGACTTTTCTGAAAAGCCCCAAACCAAAACAAGCGGCTGCGTCTATGTTTATGAGTCCAGCCCCCTCCAGCCGCCGCCGCCGCCGCCGCCGACACTCCGTCTCACTCCAAGGAGAAAAACACGTGACGGCGCCAGTGCGTGGACCATCCCCATCTCCAGCCCCAGCAGCACGGCGGGGGGGGGGGAGACTCTCCCTCAGCCTAACCTAGTGGCTCGGCATTCCAATCCTCCCGTCCCTGCCCCGCCTGCCGCGGCTTTCATTCAGTACCGCAGCGAGCGCGCTTACCTTTGGGCGCCGATCCGTTCCGAGCCTCGGGGTTCGCTACCCTATTGGACTATCCGCCTGCCCTTCAAGCCATCTAGAAAGCCAGACGGGGAGGCACCCAGGCTTGGTTGAGAAGCGCGGCGTAGTATTTCCCCCCCCTTCCTTCAAATATGAGGGAGGGAACGAGGGAGGGAAAGAGTAGACACCATTCAGTGGCATGTTATTTATAAACGAAGGGTTGTGAATCGCTCGCTCTCTGCCGGGCGGCCTCTGTGACTGAAGCAGGGGCTGGCGCTGTGCTGTTCTTCCCCTTCTCGCCCTGCAGTCCCCTCAGACTTTTTCTTATTTATTTATAGGAAAATGCCGTGCAATCCCTTCAGACTTTTTGTAAAGAAACATTTATTTATGATAGACTGTTCTCAGTTGCTTTCAGGCTTTGCATGTAAGGAGGGCATGGCTTAAGCAATGGTACCAAGAAATTTTAATACAAAAATACAGCTTTCCCCAAGCTCCACGTGTGTTGGATTACTGATCCCATCATTTCCATTGGCCATGCTGGCTTTGGATGATAGGAGATGAAGTCGTCACATTGAGAAAGCCTGCATAGAAACAAACAAGCAAGCAATATCTGTGCCAAGGCCATTCAAACAATATAGCAGCTGAAACCAAAATGTAGCCTTAAAAAGAGGTCAACATGTAATCATTAATGATTAAATATATGTCATGTTTCCTCCCCTCAACTATTCCTATTGCTCCTCTCATTCCTTCTCAACACATTTTGAAAGCTACAAACCTAAGCATGTGTGCCTGGAAGTTCCACTGAATTCAGTGGGGCTTCCAAATAAACATGCTTAGAATAGAGCTGCAGGGAAAGGGGAGATATAAACTTGAGCCTCTTTTGTGTTTGAGGCAAAGTGTTTCCCTAAGAAAGTCTTTCCTAGAGGAAAAAGGTCAAAAAGAAGGGAAGGTCGTTATTGTGATACTTCTAAAACAAATGAATGCTGTGGCAAGAAGACCCCCCCCCCACCACATACACACATTTGGGGGCACATTTACTAAAACCGGAAGAATACAGAGACTGCTGTACAGGTGCTCCGACTGCCCTTCCCACTGCCACAAGATGCACTGGTGCTTGCTGGCTTAAAGGGCTAAGAGAGGATTAGAGAAATTCACAGGAGACAGGTCTGTTAACAAGTGCTGTCTTTTGAGAATTGGAATGTTCATGCTCAGAGGCAGAATCTAACTCAATGAAAATTGTTAGGGGTGCAGAGACAAAGAGCAGGCTACTGCTCTTGCCATCTTGTCTTGCTTATTGCCTTCCAGTCAGGATTCAGTTGTCCACTGTGAAAAATAGAGTGTGGGACTAAATGGATGCTTAGTCTGATCTGGCAGAGCCCTCCCTATATGGGATGCTTAGTTTCCCCCCTGACAGAAAAAGCACACTCCAAGGATCCCTGAGTGGTAGTGAGCATTGTCAAATTTCTCCTCCTGCTACACACATGTGCATGCAATGTCCTTGATAGGCATATTGGAGATACGAGTCCTATTTGGTGCAGAAAATCTTTCTCTGGGAATAATATACCAGAACTTGCTACTGCAACTTGAGTCTCATCCAGAAACATTCCAGCTCCTATGAAACCACTATGAGGGGCAGCTTTCTCCCACTGTCGCCACAAGAATCTATTATTTTAAGCATTAATATACCCCAATTTTTATAGTTATTTTTAACAAGATTGCCATCACAATGACAGCAAGAAAAAATACAACTGCTTACAATCCACAATAATACTTCTCCTTCAGTGGGATAGGGAAATGAAGTATATGTACAGTTCCAAGCAGTAATGCAGCTGTATGATGGTGATAACTGTGTGGTAAAGATACAAGATCAAGTTCTCTAAAAATTCTATTTATCTGGAAACTACTGAAAGGATTGAGCAGTCATATGAGAGTGCAAGCAATTAGAATGTCCACTGTTTGCTCTGATCTTTTTGAGGCTTTAGAAGACTTCCCTCTGTGTGTGTGTGTGTGTGTTTGAGAGAGAGAGAGAGAGAGAGAGAGA